TAATCCAAATACTGTAATTCTTTTTAGTTGACCTCATAATCTAGAAAGTTACATTTGTAATCCCATAGAAACATTATAGGAATTCGTGAGTTAATTCCAATCTACCACCTCCAGTGTAACCCACAATGAGAGTAAAGACACCAAGACATATTCAAAGTTATAGGCAGCTAAGGTCCTGAGTCTGAGCCAGGTGAGGATGTGCGGATAAAGATCCAAGGCCTCTCCTGGAGTTTATTATCTTGTGAAGAAGGGAATGGCTCAAGGATGAGTGACAGTGAGGGTGGCGGGAACTATGTAACCTGAGCTGGCCATCTGGGAGAAAAGCACCTTTGCACTATGCAGGGTGTGGGGGACAACTCCAGTGACTTCCTTTGGCAAAACAATTACTGCAACTTTGATTATTTGGAGACTCATTTCCTTATACCGATATGTAGAGAGCTGGCTGGGGTATTTCCTTCTCTCTTCAATTGACTCTAAGCATTGCAACTAAGGCTAGCCTAGGTGCTGGTATGCAATCTCTAAAGCCAACAGACAGTCCTGTCTCCTCTCATAGTGTTCTCCATGTACAGGATATGAGCACAGCGGGATGTTAGAGCCAGTCAGCTCCAGGAATGTCAGCTGGGTACAAGCCTCAAGGTAAAGAGGCTATTACTCTCTAGGGCACAAGAGTTTGCGTGTCAGAAACTGAACCATCAGCCCCCCAAAACAATTCCATTGTTACCTTAATTAGATTGAGTGAACTGATCCTTCTGCATATCTTTATCTCTGCAAATTACAGAGATGCCAATCTTGCACCTAGCCAGCCAGCTCAAGTTACTCACATAATTTCCTCCATCCTCACTGTCACTCATCCCTGAGCTACCCCATTCTTCACAAGACAATAAATTCTGGGAGAGGCCTGGGATCAGGGCCTTTGTCTGCACATCCTCACAGGGATTGGACTTACGATCCCTTGGCTACCCTTAACTTGGAATATGTCTTGGTATTTTTACTTTTGCTGTGGTTTGCATTGGTGGTGGTAGTTTGGAATTAATTTACTGGGATTCCAATAATGTCTCAATGGGATTTCAAATATAACTTTTCGGATTGTGAGGAAAACTAGAAAAAGGATTACAATACTTGGATAACTGGTACACAGTATTTGGCATTACAATACAGGGAGACTGATACGCAGAAGGACCAGCGTGCATAATCCAATTAGGGTGTTTTAAGAGGCTGTTGCTTCAGTTTCTGATATGCAAACTTCTGTGCCCTGGGGAGTCACAGCCTCTTACTTTGAGCTTGTACCCAGCTGACATTCCTGGAGCTGACTGGTTCTGCCATCCTGCTGTGCTCAGTCCTCTACAGAGAGCGCTATGCAAGGAAATAGGAACTGGCCTTATCTGCACCACTTAGAACCATTGAAGGCAGAATGGAACAGCGTAGCCCCTCTGCGCGTATCCGTACAAGGAAATAAGACTCAGTTTAACCGAGTCGCAGCAGTTGTTCTGCACTCAAGGAGAGGTGCCCCGCCATCTTCTACACCCATCATTGTCCAGTTTCTGTGGGTATGGGTCAGAGATTAGTGCATGGCGAACCAGCCGCACAACTGAGCAAGACCTGTCCAATCATGGCCGAGACGCACCACAGGACAGCTTCAGAGCCCTGCGTGGGACAGCCTGGATCAGACACTAAAAGAAGATATAAAAGATGGGGCTATTGACTTTGCTGCCACTGCCCTCTTATTGTGCAGTGACCTGTCCTGCGTGCAGGATGTGTCTTCTCTTTTCTCTTTCTCTTTAGTTTCCTCTCCTTTTCTTTGATAAATGTTAAGCTGTTACGTTCATTGGTTATCTCTGTCTTTGAATGGGATGAGAGTCTGCACCTACTGAACACCTCAGCATTGGACAAGAGACAAAGCTGGGTACCACAGAGTAAATAGCTGAAAAGAGTTTATTTTGCTCAGAGTTCTGAAGGCTGGAAGCCCCAGCACACTGTGCTGGCAGCTGGGGAGGCCTCTCGCTAGGGCATCTCGCAGCAGAGGGTGTCCTGTGGGCAGTCTGAGTGAGTGGTGGTGAGAACTTGTGTGGATAACGAAGTGACTCCACGCGAATCTACCAGTCTACTAATAACCTCCCCCAAAGCCCATCTCACAATACTGCTGCCTTGGGGGCTGGGGATTTAGCTCAGCGGCATAAGCGCCTGCCTTGCAAGCAGGCAGTCGTGAGTTTGATCCCTGGTACCGAAAAAAAACGAAAAAGACAAAAAAAAATTTTTTTAAAAAACAATACTGCTGCTTGGGGACCGTGTTGCGGCATATGAAATGGAGGGACACGTGGCAACTGTCTCAACGGTCATACCTTTTAGTTCTAAATCCCACTGTGTTGGTATTTAACATGTGTGAGCCCTCACCTCCACCATAGGCGCCATTTCTTTTTTCTTCCTGTGTCTCTGAGTTTCCACCAGCGTCATTTTCCTCTGTTTCTCTCACTGTTTCACCTCCATCTCTGGAAGGGGGGAAGAGTCACCTCATTTCCTGGAGGCCCTCTCAGAAGCCCACTGTCCCCTAAGCTTAGCAAACAAGCTGAGGATGGCCCCGCTCACCACCTCAATTCCTCACCGTTGTACCAGGGCTTCTAGCCCTGAAGCTTAGGCAAGAAAGTAAGAGGAATTCAAGTTGGAAAGGAAGATGTAAACTCTCTACTCACGATGACATGATCTTATATGTAGCAAATCTTCAGTAACTCATAAAATAACTAGTAGAGCTAATGAAAGAACTTGATGAGGTTGTGGAATGTGAGAATGTTTTCTTTGAAAGATGGAGTCTGGCTGTGTGGCCTAGACTGGCCTTGAACACCTAGACTCAAATGAGCCTTTGCTTCAGCCCTTGCACAGCTGGGACTACAGGTGTACACTATTGGCCCAGCCAGGGTACAAGATTGACATACAAAAATTAACTGTACTAGATACCTATTTTTAAAATTTTATTTTAAAGAGAATAAAACCAAACAAAATAAAACAGAGATAAAGCCAATCAAAACAGAACAGTGAAAGTGACACAGGATTTTGAAGCAGGACAATAGGAAACCAACAGTGGCTACTATATTGCTTCTTGTTATCTTCAAAATTGCTGCCCGTACCATCAGACATAATAAAATCAAACAAAAGAGTACAGAATAAAACCAGTCAAAACAGAACATTTAATAAAACAAAACAATAAAATGGAAAAAAACAAAACAGTGAGAACAATATTGGATTTCAAAGACAAGACAGAAGAAAATCCCCCATAGTTGCTGTATTGCATATTGTCCCCTCAATAGATGCTCTAGGCCTGCAAAGTCAATCAAACATTACAAGCAGTAACTTGCTTTTTGTACCTCAGGTGCTAACAACTCAACTTGTGTTCCTCCAAATCAGCTAATTGCTTAAGAGGTGGGAGTGGAGATGTTCTTGTCTCCCAGTCCATGCAACTGGTTGGCTTATAGGAAGAGCCAATTAGCTTCTTCTTTCTCCTCCGGGGACCTGCAGGGTTCCCTGTACTATACATTATGATGAGCAACCCAGTGATGAATTCAGAAAGTAACGTCCATGTGACCTCCTTACTGTCCTTTAACCCCATTGTTAGGAAGGGGAAGAGAGACCTGGAGAGAAGTAACATAGTTTCTTAATCCAGAGGTCTCTCACTCCTCTTCTGCTGGAGCCCTGTTGGTCCAGCCTCATTATGTGCCACAGCTAGCTGCAAGGGAGGCTGGGAAAGGTAGTTTCTAGCTAGCATCCGTGTGACCACTTGGACTTGGAGTGCTAATGAGGGAGCTCCTGTGGAATATTGCCAGTTTCTGCCACACTGGCCTAGTTCCATCCCCCGAGCTCAAAGCTGCTCCTGGAGAGGCTTACGGACCCCTCAAAATCAATGTGTACAATACTGGCCTCTCCCCACTCCCACCCCCACCCCCCATCTCCACATATTTGTCTTCCTTCTGGACTCCCTGGCTCTGTCCAACCAGGACCCTGACTTTCACTGGGTCTCTGACCTCAGCCCACTTCCCTCCATGGCTGCTGATCCCCAAGCCACTCAAACCTATTAGGGCCTAAGGATACGCTCATTCACTTCTCTACACCTGTGCTTTTCTCCCAGCAGCCCATTCTCGGCTCCTTTTAAAAGGCATCTGTTATGACAACACCCCACTTCAAACCCACTAACAGCTGACTGATGCCCACAGGAGGGAATGCAAATCTCCTGGGTGGACCCATAGGGTTTGGCCCCTGCCTCTCACTCCTCAGCCCTGGTGCCACTCCAGAGCTGTGCTCTGACCATATTGGCCTCCTTTCAGCTCCTGCACTGTGAGGTCTTCTGAGCCAGCCTAGAATCCTGCACAAAGGCTTGTATGTACACACGCATGTGCGCACACATGTGCACACACACACCTGTAAGTCCCACTTGCCCACAGAAGACAGCTGAAGTGCTGTCCGCCATAGGCCTTGCCGTCCCTGCTAAGCTCTTTTAGTCCCTACGCCCCTCTGCACAGCACCACCACAGCTGCAGTTAGTCAATCACACAACAGAACACCAGTCACTTGCTTCCCTCCTGGGGCCCAGCCCTTGGGAAAAGCATGGTCACAGCAGGCCATCAACAGTGTCACCAGAGAACAAAGGATGTCAGAAGTCCTGCTATAAAAATCTCTTAGGCTTCACCTCACGACATATTTCACCCAACAGAAACTGAAATGCACCACCCTGTAGCTCCCACTACACCCACCTGTGCTTCCCCAGGGTCTCAATGTCCAAGAGCCCAAGACACCAAGGACTGAACATCTAAAGGTGATGTGGAGGACTTGGTGGGGGTGGGGGGAGGGAAATGCCCCAGGCCCTCCATCTGTGTTGTCGGGGCTCTGTCTAGCATGGAGGAACCTGTCACCCCCCAACCTGTCCCAGGCCACTGCTGCGGGTGGAGGAGCACCACAGCCTTCTGTAAGGATGCACAGTCCACATCGCTGTGGAGCATGAGGTCCTGGGGAGGAGGCCAGAGCAATGCATGTGGACCATGACCCTTTCCTCCCAAACCTGAGACAGGGGCGCGGTGATGGGCAGCTCCCATCCTCCTGTGGGGCTGCCTGTGGGAAACCACTCACTCATTTCCTGGCTCCTGACAGTCACCACATGTGCTGGAGGCGGGGACAAGCGGAAAGGGCTGCTTTGCGTTTGGTTCCTGATGGGAAGCATCAAAGCTGTTCCCCGTCATTAACTATGATTGCAGGACAATTTCCCTTGGTGAGTACATTTGCAGCCAGAGGGGGGCCAAGCCATCTGGGTCTCATCAGTCTCCCCCTACCCTGTCTCCCCTCTGTGCTGGCCCAGCCCCGCATCCTCACACTGAGACCTTTAGCCTTCTACCTGGTCATGTCCTTGCCCGTGGTGCTGACTCTCAAGGGAGGCTGAGCCCTGAGCAGCCAGGCTGACCCAGCAGGGCGGTGGGGCCAGAGAGAAGCCTCCAAGTTCATGGCAAGGGCAGACGCAGTAAACGAAGGCCTGGGGACCTTTTCTCTGCTTGCAGTCCCAGGTGCAGCCATATAGACTGCGACATGCAAGGAGTCCAAATGGCCCACATAGAAAACAGGTGTCAGAGTGAGGGCTCTGGCTGCACTGTCCGGGGAGAAAGGCTGTGTGTGACACCGTGTGCAGGGAGCAGTGAAGGACACAGCCTCTCCGTCACAAAGAGACAGAGGGGCTCAGCACTACCTCCAGGGAAGACCTGAGCTCCATTCTCAACACACCCAGGCCAGCCCAACGGACAGTGGCAGGTAGAGCGTGGGCGTCCTACGGGGACAAAGACTAAGTGGGGACTTTCCAGAGCTGGGCTCTTGCTGAAGCAAGACAGGGGACAGTGAGCCCTGGGTTGTACTAAGAGCCGGGGTGACACAGCAGGACCTCTCCTACGGCCAAGGGTCCCAGATGGGGCCAAAATGGCCTTGAGCCGGGCTTGGCAGCCTTGTCTAATGCTGGGACAAGGGCAGCCTCAGTCTGCCATCAGTCTGATGGGGACGCCAAGTTCGGGGGAGCAGCCAGGGTTGTCACAGGGTGCTCCAGGTCAGGGCGTTCCTTCCCTGGAATGGGTCTATTCTTGGGGGTCTGGCATCTGCAGCCCTTCACACAGGACCCCTGTGGCAGGACACACAATGTCACAGAGCCTGATCCCTGCGGCCAGTTCCCTGTCCACAAGAACCAGCAGGGGGCAATACTCACTGAGCTGATATCCACCAAGGGCCGTGACCACCCAGCTGTGCCTTCCCCACCTCTGCCACACAAGTTTTGTTTGTTCCCAGAACTGTGGTGCTGTGCTATGTATTTTTATTAAATAGACGATAAACTTACTTTTATGTTTGCATGCTGGAGATGGAACCCCAGTTCCAGAGCTCTGCTGCACCCTGGTCCTTACTATCCTCACACAAGAGAGCAGGAGTGGAGCCCGCACTGGCCGAGCCACGCCCCAGCCTCCTCCTGAGCATGGCTGGACTGCTCAGTGAGCGAGGCCCTGGATGCAGCCTGAGACCCAGACTCCAGGCTGGGGCCCAGCCATCTGTATTTCATAAGCTACTGCAGGCTCAAGTTTGAGGATCACTGATTCAGAGTGAAATTTTGGTCTCTGTGTTAAATAAATTCACCTGAAATAGCCATGCTGCTCAGCCAGCAAGGTCTTCTGGGTTTTCTTTCCAGGTGATTGTCTACATTGGAGGAAACCCAGGTCACCACTGCAGCCTGGTCAGCAGCCTCTCCATGGCCTGGGAACCACATGGCTCAAAGCTGAGACTCTCTTCTCCACAGCCGGTGGGGTCACCAAGAAGACTTCAGAACCACTGGGGTCCGACGATCAGGGCCACGTGTGAAGGTTTTCAAAGCTCCGGTGTGGGTCCAAACACAGGCAGGGTGGGCATCCTTGGTCAGAGGTCAGTGGCCCTCAGAGGTGACTTCGGCTACCCTTGACCCACTTCAGTGGAAAATCCTAATAAAATGGATTAGAAATGTGGGCAGATTGACTTGGAGACAGATAACATGCACGAGGGGGTAGGCCAGGTCATATCTGGGGACTCAGAGTGCAGAGCAACTGTCACCAAGCTCTTGTGGCTTCGGCTCATTCATGGGTCAGACCCTGGGAGACCCTCGGTGCCCTAGAGGAGCCCTGTGCAGCCTGGTCCTGCTGCTCCTGCATTCTCTATCCAGCATCTCGGGGGTAGCAGTGTCCCCCACTCAGAATTCTCACATTACAGCTCAGCTCCTGCCAGAGACCCAGAAAGATCAAACATTTCTTGCCTAAAAGGACAAAGACATCTTCCTTTTGAAATATTTTTTAAAGACCTAAACTGTGTCACAGAATCCTCTTCCCTTTGATAACTTAGACTACAGTTATTCATGCTAGAAAGAGACATCTCCCAAATGGCAATCGAGTGACACAGAATCAAGACAGTGGCAGGGGGTTGCTGGGCCCGGCCCCAGCCCAGTTCCCAAAGCAATGCCCTCCTGCGCTGGCCTGGCTGTTACCTCCAGCCTTGTTTCAGAGTGAGGCCAAGATTAATTCTGCCCTTCAGGGGAAGGGAGAGAGTGATCACGTAGCCAGGGGCTCTTCCCACTTTGTTTACAAAATTAAATGTGCCTTGAATGTAATGAGTCAGGAGAAGCAGATTCGCATGGAGTCTGGAAATGAAATTTCCTGTCTAAGGTTTGACTCAGGCCGCTCTGTCTGGAATTCTACCCCAAGGACATCCATTCCACTGTAACAGGGCCAGTCCCCGCGGAGCTCCGGAGAGATTATCCAAAGCAGACCGGAAACGGTGGGGCCCAAGGGCGCCACTCTGACTCCTGAGCTCACCACCACCAGGCTGGTGCAATCCAGAGTTGCAAATTCATCATCAAGGCACCACTCCTATGTGCTGGCCGTCTTCCTCTTCCCCAAAGGCAGCTCTAATAAGGAACTGGGCGTCTTTATGGTCTTCCTTTGCTAGCACAAGAGGAGACTAATTCAGGGCAGCCACCATCCTCATCTTCCCAAGAACGAGGTGGTCTCAGGACCAGGGATTTTCGGTCTTAAAACTGAGAAGTCCCAAGCAAACCCAGACTCGTTTGTGACCCTGAGGTTGTTGCTGCCAGCTCCAGCTAAAGCAGGGGCTGTGTCCAGCAAGGGCGGAGACAGGGGCTGGCTGTCTCCCGTGGGGCACACCAGGGAAGCAGACGAGTTCCTTCAGGTGCCAAGAGGACAGGGAACTTTCCTACACCTCCCCACTGGTAACTGGAGGCGTCGGGTTTGGGACTTGATTTTTTGACACCTCAAAGGGAAGTGGGATCAGCCCTCAAAGGGGTCACTTGGCTGGGAAAGTCTTACTGAAGGCCCACAAGCCCCAGCACCTCCTGGGACCAGCTTGCCTGGAAACCAGAATCTCAGGCTCCACTGGGTGACTCGGCTGATCCCAGGTTTACAAGCACAACTAGACTGTGAAGAGCCCTGCTCCCCAGCACCTGGGAAGGCCGGGAGGTGCTGGAGTCATTGCTGAGAGTTTTAACAGCCACAAGAAATTGGTACATATGTCTGCCCAGGCTGTAAGCACAACAGTAAGATTCCAGCAACCGTTCATGTATCTTTGGATAAAATTGGGAAATAAATTAATTACTTACTACATGAAAAACATTTTTTTTTTTGAGACAGGGTTTAGCTATGCAGTTCGGGCTGGTATTGAATTTACTATGTAGTGTAAACTGACCTGGACTCACAGCAATCTTTCAGCCTGAGTCTCATGAGTGTTGGGATTATAGCTGTGTGCCGCCACACCTGGCCACACAAAAGACATCTTTAAAAACAATGCTTTTGTTTTGTTTTGAGACAGGTCTTGCTATGTAGTTCAGGCTGGCCTTGAACTCGATATGTAGCCCAGGCTGGCCTTGAATTCACAATTCTTCTACCTCAGCCATGCAAGTGCTGGGATCATAGGTGTGTGCCACCATGCCTGGCTAAAACAATGTTTTTAAAAAGCCACAGCCACAAAGTGTATGTGAAATCATATGAAACAGGTAAAACCAGAGTGAAAACTTGAAGCTGTGGCTGCCAGGCCAGTCAGTGAGTTTGCTATGGGGAGGAGTGTTCTAGTAAGAGAAAGAGCACATGGCGTGTGCACCAGCCGCTCCTGGCAGCTAAGCTTAACGGCGGCTCACAGGGGACATTTCCTGGCATGGCTGTCACACTGCTGTTTCCTAGTTGAAACAGGGAGGGGACTTGATGGTGAGGAGCTAGGGCATCTCTGCACGTGGCTCAGAGTGTTATTATTATTGTTGTTGTTGTTAGTTTGAAAGCTTCCTCAGTGATGTTCTCTCCGAGATGGGAAACCAAGCAAGACCACTGCCAACACTTCTACTTATCATGGTGCAAGAGATGCTACCAGCAACTCAGACCAGGAAGAGAACTCAGAGGCATCCCATGGCTGCTGCCAGAGAGAGAGAGATAACAAGAGCATGGATGAGGGAGTGTGGAACCGTCACGAAGCACTGGTGGGATATAAAGTCATTGTCCAGGAGGCCTCACAGTGACAAAAGCAGAGCTATCACACGACCCCACAGCTCTATCCTCAAGTATAGTCGAAAAGAATGAAAATGGGCACAGAGGTGGGTAGCGCCATCAGTGTAATCACCAGAGGTGGGGAGAACCTGCGGCACCTGTGGGTGAGCAGAGACAAACATGCTCTGTGTGCGTGAGGGATGTTGCTCAACCCTAGGAGGAAGCTGATTCACCGTGCAGCACAGTGAGCTGGAAACCTCGCGGGAAGCTGTCGCAAAACACCACATCCGATCGATCAAGAACTATGCAGAAAGAGGCAGCTGTGGAGATTAGCGGTGATCTGGGCTCGGGAGGTGGGGCACCAGAGAGCAAGAGCTCAGTGTTTTTTGAGAGGTACGGAAATGTTTTAAACACGGTCGTGGTAGTGGTTCATGGCTTTGTGAATCTGCTACAAATCATTGAATTGTACACTCTAACTGGATTAATTATACAATGTGCAAATTGCATCTCAATAAAACTGATCTTTTTAAATGAGGTGTCCATACTGGAAAGGAAGAAATGAGACTGTCCCTACTTGCAGATGACCTGATGATGTACCTAGAAACTGTTTAGGAATCTGCCCAAAAAGCAACACAACTATTAGCAAATTTGGCAGCTGGTCTAGATACAAGACCAACATACAAAATATGCAAACAATACAACAATCATGCAAATCTATATTCCTGCATGTTAAAAATAAATACTGGGAACATGGACTTTTTAAAATGCTGCATACACACACACTTTAAATCATGGACATATATATTATTATAGGATATTTGCAAACCTCTGTGCCAGCCCCTCAATCTTGACGCTACTGACATTGTCACCTGGACTGTCCTGGGCATGGTAGGCTACCTGGCAGCACTCCTGGGCCCCACCCACCAGCTCCCAATAGAATGCAATTGTGTTTCCCCCAATTATACGACTGTGACAACCAAAAATGCCTCCTTTACCAAATGTCCCCCAGAGGGTGAAAGCCACCCTTAGTGGAGACTCACTGACACTGAAACTTGAAAATTTGGCAAGGGAAACAGAAGATGGTGGAGAGAACAGAGCGAAAGACGTGCTGTGCCTGGGTCCGAAGGCTCCGAACTGTGGAGCGATCAGATCTCCCCAGATCAATCAACTCTCCCCAAATTGATTAGTAGGATCAATGCAACTAGAGTCCTGTTCCCAACAGACATTTCTGCAGATCAGCAGTCAGGCTGCCCGCATTCACGGAAAGAAGCTAATGTGTCCAGAACCGCTCCTGGGCAGCCTGACCTCCAGCCTCCTCCCTCGGCAGCCCTGCCACAGGTGTCCAGCAGCATCAGCTCTCAGAGTCAGGAAGAGGCCAGCTGGGTGCCGGCCCCTCACAGCAGAGCCCCTGTGTACCTTTTCCCCCTGAGCCCTGGTCTCTTGCTGGTGCTTGAGCTCGGCACCGTCCTCAGCTGCTCCACCTGCACCTGCTTCTTAGGGTCTCAACTCAAGCTGTCACCTTTGGGATGAGAGATCCATTCTGTAGAGTCTAGAGTCTGCTTCAGCCACCCCAGGCCTGATTCTGAGCCCCAAGCAGAGCAGCCCAGCCCCTCAGGGTCTCTGACCTCTGGATGTTGAACAGCAATGCTTTCCCCAGCCGATCCACTCAAAGCAGGAAGGGTGAGAGGACACCCCCACTTCTTCTTATCTGTCCTTGAAAACAACTAAAAACAGAATTCTATTTAAAGAGCAAATGGTAACATCAATGTCCGAATTTAAAAGGACGCTTTCATATGAGCTGGAGAGACAGTCTCCAACTAGACCCGGGGTCTGCTGGGGCAGGGGACAGCAGAGGCATGGGCAGGCTGCCACCCACCAAGATTTGTGGATGCTGAGCTTGGTTCTCTCACCCCTGCTGTAGGCAGGGCTTGTGAGAACAATTAGAATTTATAATATTGTTTTAGGATAGTCATCGAGAGTTAAAAAGTGCAGGAAAACTGTCTACAGCACTAAAGATCCAGAATATTTAGCCAAGGGCCTGGATCCCACAATAATGTCCTGCATAAGTCCAGCTGAAGACCCAGAGCCCATGACAATGCCTCCCACGAGTCCAACTGGAGGTCTAGAGCCCTGAGAAGGACTCACGCCAGTCTGTTTTATGGATCCATGCTGGGAAGGCCCAAAGGTCAGTGGTGGAAGCCAGGAAGTCTATGCCAGCAGGGTGAAGGAGCTGTGCCAGTAAGCTGAGGGTTCTGCACTGGAGCCAAGAAGCAGTACTCAAAACAAGGACCAGGGCTATCCTGAAAAGCACCACAGCCATCCTCAGCAACACAGAGGCCCCGAGCTCCTCTGACAATAAGAACAGTCAAGCACACCAGAAAGCCAGTGTGACAAGCTTCTCCTGGAGATTAAACAGCACGCACCTTCCCCTCTGCAGCCAGGAAGCAATGCTCCATGTGAGGACCAGAGCTCCCTGCAGTGAACCTCAGCTGCTCTGTGACAAGGTCTGAGCTCCTCTGATAATACGGTCAAACTCACACTGGGGAAGCCAGTCATGACGAGCTCCTCCAGGTGAACCAACGCCTCAAATAGCAACGCATAGGAAAACTTACAACACCTCGCTAGTCTTCTCCACGTCTCTATTTATGCTGGCAACTTTCCTCAGGTGGAGCATCTATGCTCAGCATCATGCTAATTTAATTCAGCTG